TAAAGTTCATTTTCAATATACTGTCTTGTGAGTATCATGTTGCAATGGGTCATCCTGTGTCCTTGTTTCAGCATTTTGTTATTCCCCTTCCCCTCTCCAAATTACACAAATGTAAAGATGCAGGGTACCAAAATCAAGTACAGTGACAACAGGGGATATACCATAGGGGGAAGAACATACAAAGGAAATTTAAAAAAAATCACATAGTACATTAAAAACAACAACAACAAAGAAAGACCTCTTGTGTCCATATCTTGGGGTTCATTTCACTCAGCATCATCTTTTTTTTTTAATTGTGAACATACTGTAGAGAGGAGTTACAATTACATGGGCAAGATAATGAGTACATTTCTTATCAAGCATTGCAGCCTCCTCCTTTGTTTACCCTTCCCATCCCTTCCCATCCTCCCCCCACCCCCCCACCCAATCCTCCCTGCCCCCCAGCATCATCTTATATGGTCATATGCACATAGTTTTTGATCTTTACTGCTCAGCTTATAAAATTATCCTAGATGTATACAAATTATTGCAAATGACGGAAACCATGGGACCTATATTTCTTTGGGTCTGGCTTACTTCACTTAATATGATTTTTTTTTCCAAGTCTTTCCATTTCCTAACAAATGGGGCAATATCATTGCCCCATATATACACATTTCATTGTGTATATATACCACATTTTCTTTTTTTTGTCAGTTGTGGGGCCTGAACTCTGGGCCTGGGCGCTGTCCCTCAGCTCTTCAGCTCAAGGCTAGCGCTCACCACTTGAGCCACAGCTCCACTACTGGCTTTTTCTGCTTATGTGGTGCTGAGGAATAGAACCCAGGGCCTCATGCATGCAAGGCAAGCACTCTACCACTGAGCCACCTTCCCAGCCCATATATACCACATTTTCTTGATCCATTCATCTACCGAGGGGTATCTGGGTTGGTTGCATATCTTAGCTATGGTGAATAATGCTGTGATAAACATAGTTGTGCTGGTAGCTTTAGTATGGCCTTGTTTGTGATGGCTTGGGTAAATGCTCAAAAGTGGGATTGCTGGGTCATAGGGGAGCTCTATATGGAGTCATTTGAAGAACCTCCATACTTTTTCCCAGAGTTGGTGAACAAGTTTACACTCCCACCAACAATGCAGTAAGGTTCCCTTTTGGCCACACCCCTCCAGCATCTGTTGTTATTAGACTTCTTGATTATAGCCATTCTAGTTGAGGTGAGGTGGAATCTCAATGTTGTTTTGATTTACATTTCTTTTATGGCCAGAGAAGTTGAACATTTCTTCGTGTGTCTATTGGCCATTCTTACTTAGAAGCAATGTTTCTAAGAGGCTTTTTTCTGTTGCACTATTAACATTTTTTGTTTTCTCAATAACCAATATTTTAATGTAAGACGATGCTCTTATGTTGCCTTGAATTAGAAAAAATATTCCTTATGGTTTTTGAGAAGCTTAGAAATTAGAATGCTGAGTGAAAAATAATTCAAAGCATTCTCACACTCTTGGTTTTTATTGTTGTAACTCTTGCATCAGTTAAAGTATCAAGGATGCAGCATTTAGTCATGGGGGAAAAAAACCATAAGCGTTCTTTAACAAACTGGAAAGAAATTCGAAAATTGATTTTCTCCAGATTACATTTCTCCTCAAATGTGCGTTCTAAGTCCAAGATATTTTTTAAATTATAGTTTATATATGATGAATTTTAAATCTCTCTATGCAAGTATGCTTTTTGCTATAAATTAAAAATATATGGAATAATCATTAAGGTGAAAATCACAGGTACTAATTCTCTCTCTCTCTGTCTCTCTCTGTCTCTATCTCTCTCTCTGTGTCTCTGTTGTCTCTGTCTCTGTCTCTCTCTGTCTCTCTGTCTCTGTCTCTCTCTCTCTCTCTCTTGCTTGCTTTCTATGCTGGCACTGGAGCTAGTCAGGACCTGGGTGCTGTCCCTTAGCTTTTTTGCTCAGGGTTAGTACTCTACCACTTGAGCAATAGCTCTACTTCTGGCTGTTTTTTACTGGTTAATTGGAGATGAGAATCCCAGACTTTCCTGGCTGGGCTAGCTTTGAACCACAATCATCAGATCTCAGTGTGTTGAGTAGCTAGGATTAAAGGTATGGGCCACTAGTATCTGACACCAGTAGTTTTTAAAGATGAGATTCTAGCAAAGTATTTGCCTTAGAATAATGATAATGATAATAACAATAATGTCAATGACAATATTAACACATGCATTGACTACTTTATAGTGTATAAAATAATTTTCTGTAGAGAAACAAGGTGATGATGTGGAAAGACTGAGGGTTTGGTTTTTGACCTAGCCATAAGGCCCACCATACCACTTTCTGTATCTTAGATTTCTCATTTATAAAAATGGACATCCCACCTATATTGAAATGCTACTGTGAACATTAAACAAGATTGAACACATGTAAAGATTGTGGCATAAAGCAGTAGCCATACAAATTCCACTAGTTTAATCCATACCATTTAATTACAAAGAATGTCTTGCCTCTTTTATGGAATCATTTGAGGCTCAGATAACCCATCCAGGGTCTCTAAATCCAAGGCACTAATTCTCCCTCAACTACTTGTGCAACTAGACTGGGCAAACTGATGAAATGGCCAGTGGCAGTGATTGAGTGTGACTACTCAGATGTGATGCAACTTTTAGGAAACCATTGTTAGTTTTTTTTCCTCTGATGTACATGCGCTACTCTGTGTGTTAGCTACAACTCCATCCTTGGCTACTCACAGAAGCCAAGCAAGGATAATATTTATCATTTATAGTGATTACTTGCAATTCATTGTATCTCCTCCCAGTTGTTTATTGCCAAAGACAAGTATCTTTTAACATGCTTCACAAGCTGTTGGCAACATATCAGGATTAAGGACTCTTAACCCATGACAGGATCTAGGAAGAATAAGGCCATGTTTCCATAGAGGGTTTTTTTTTAATTGTGGTGGAAGGAGGTAATGAGAAAGATGGGTGAGGCCAATAGGCATGTAAAATATTAAAACTTGACTTTGTAGGCACCAAAAATTTCTTTTTATTTTTGGTTCGTTCATGGGGCCTGAACTCTGGGCCTGGGCGCTGTCCCTCAGGTCTTCAGCTCAAGGCTAACACTTGTGAGCCATAACACCACTTCTGGCTTTTTTTTTCTGCTTATGTGGTGCTGAGGAATGGAACCCAGGGCCTCATGCATGCAAGGCAAGCGCTCTACCACTGAGCCACCTTCCCAGCTCCAGCTACAATTTCTTTTTAAGTTACACTTTCATTAGGTTTATGTAGTTGTGAAAATAAGTTACCATCCAACAAATTTTACATATAATGCATCTGTTCTTTTTTTTAAAAATTATTTTATTGTTAAGATGATGTATGAAGGGGTTACATGAGTAAGATAATGAGTACATTTCCTATTGAGCATTGTTGCCTCCTCCTTTGTTTTCCCCCTAACATCCCTTCCCTTTTATTTTATTGTTAAGATGCTGTACAGAGGTGTTACAGTTACATGAGTAAACAATGAGTTCGCTACTTGTCAATCATTGTTATCCCTTCCCTTCCTTGTTGTTGTCCCACTATCCCTTTCCTCCCTCATACACCTACAATTTCTTGAGTAGGAAAGCAGTGGTGGTTTGCAGGATACTATGCAGATGAGAGTGTCTGGAAACCAGACCAGTCTGGCTTATTGAAGTGAGCCAGATGGCATGCTAACATGTTCTGGACTTAGGCAGTAGCAATAGGAATGCAGATGATTAACCAGATCCAAAGGAGACTTGGAGCCAGCTAGATGCACATAGGCAACCAAGGAGGACAGAGTGGTCAATAGAGAAAGCAAAAGTTTCAAGAGTGGTTGTCATTTGAGCAGTAGGTTTCTTTCTTTGATTATACTTCTCTTAGCTGTATATTAAAATGTCCCTGGGACTAAGCACCCTTATGGATGGAAAGGAAACAATATGAAAGGGTGCTAAAAGGCAGAGAAAGCAGGAGCTGAGAATTACAAATTTGTAGTACATAGAGGGTGAAATATTCGATTTCCCCCTCGAAGTGACCTGCAGCACTGCATTCAGATTCTAGGTAGCCAGCATTCTGCTATCGGAATCCCGTGGGTGACAGAAGGAGCACTTAACCTTGCCATCTGAGCAGCAAATAACCATGGTGAAAGAAGTGACTCAAAAGAAGTAAAGCTCGGGGCTGGGAAGGTGGCTCAGTGGTAGAGCGCTTGCCTTGCATGCCTGAGGCCCTGGGTTCCATTCCTCAGCACCACATAAGCAAAAAGAAAAAGCTGGAAGTGGCGCTGTGGCTCAAGTGGTAGAGCGCTAGCCTTGAGCTGAAAAGCTGAGGGACAGCGCCCAGGCCCAGGGTTCAGGCCGCACGACCGGACCCCCCAAAAAAACAACAAAAAACAAAAAACAAAAGAAGTAAAGCTCGCCAGATGCCAGTGGCTCACTCCTATAATCCTAGCTGCTCAGGAGGCTGAGATCTGAGGATCACAGTTTGAAGCCAGCCCAAGCAGGAAAGTCCATGAAACTCTTACCTTCAATTAATCACCAGAAAACTGGAAGTGGCACTGTGGCTCAATTGTTAGAGCACTTACCTTGAGCTGAAGATCTGCCCAGGCCCAGAGTTCAAGCTCCACAGCTGACCAAAAAAAAAGTAAAGCTGAGATTGTGGTCATTTGATAGACTCTACATCCCATTCCTGTGGTGTAGGTACCTGAAGGGTGGAGATTCTTTTTTTGTTCTCTACTATGTCCTGATGAGAGAACAGTGTCTGTCCCTTAGTAGGTACACAGTGACTTAGGGCTCATTGAGTAAATAACACAAGGGATTACAAGTCTCTGGCTCAGAATTTGTTGAACCAACTTGAAATTCCTTGAATAATATTGAGGCTGGTGAAAGAGTTTGATTTGATTTTATATTGCGTAAAATACAGTACAATGGTGTTAGGTTAACTTTTTTGCATGAGATTTTCAGTAATAACCTAACTAGACTCGTTCTTTTGCTAGTGATGCTCTGGAACAATTCATGGAAAATCAAGGCGCATCCAGTCCAGGTATTCTCATTTTAACAACGAGCCTCAGTAAACCTTTCATGCGCCTAGAAAAATATGTTACTCTTCTCCAAGAGTTGGAACGGCATATGGAGGTAAGGGGATAAAGCTTTTCTTTTCTTTTCTTTTTTTGTTGGCCATGTGGTTTGAACTCAGGGCCTGGGCACTGTCCCTCAGCTCTTCAGCTCAAGGCGAGCGCTCTACCATTTGAACCACAGCGTCACTTCCAGTTTTCTGGTGCTTTATGGAGATGAGTATTTCACGATCTTTTCCTGAACAGGCTGGCTTTGAACCACAATCCTCATATCTCAGCCTTCTGAGTAGCTAGGATTACAGGCGTGAGCCACCGGTGTCCAACTGCTTTTGTAAGCTCTTGTACCCAGATATCCAGCCAGTGTGTCTCTAGCTGCATCTTGCTAGGGATCCAGAAAAATACCTTTCTTTCAGAATTTACTTAGTTAGATCTTTTCTTTTCCTAGACTTCTGGTTTCCTTCCTTATACAACAAAATAAGATCCTTATTCTTTCCTCCCAGCTGTTCATGATCATTGCCCCCTCTTTCTTCTCCTATAATCATTAGTCCTATTGCTTCCTTCAAATCTTTTCCTTCTTGTTGACTTATATTTTCCTTTGCTTCCTCCTTCTCCTCCAACTTTCCACTCATGACCAGGGTTCTACTACTTGAGCCATACCTCTAGTTCTATTGTTTTTTTTTAATGTGGTGATACTAGGGTTTGTACTTAGTTTAATATGCAGTTGCTCTACCACTTGAGCCACATCCAACCTCTCCTTTGCTTTAGTTACTTTTCAGATAGGGTCTCAAATTTTTTTTTTTGCTTGTTGGGGCAGCCTCAACTTGCTATCCTCTGATGGCCTCATGTACCACTAGGATCACAGGTCTGTATCACCACACCCAGTTTATTGATTGAGATGGAGTCACATTAACTTCTTTCCTACAATGACCTTGAACCACATCCTCCTGATCTTTGCCTCCTGAGTAGCTGGGATTATAACCAATGAGTCTAACTACTTAGATTTTCTTTCATCCTCTTATCTGTTATTTTTGTTTTTGTTTTTTTTTTTTTTTTGGGTCCGGTCATGGGGATTGAACTCTGGGCCTGGCCGCTGTCCCTCAGCTCTTCAGCTCAAGGCTAGCGCTCTACAACTTGAGCCACAGCGCCACTTCCGGCTTTTTTCTTTTTGCTTATGTGGTGCTGAGGAATCATGCAAGGCAAGCGCTCTACCACTGAACCACCTTCCCAGTCCCATCCTCTTATCTGTAGATTATGGCTCAATGTTAACAAAACCTAGAATTTTCTTTTGCTCTGGCATATTAACTAACTATTGTTTGAGGTAAAGCAAATACGTGAAGTAGAAGATATTCACTGCAAACAGGAATATTTTTTCAAACACTGTGATCAGTAGTATTCTGACCCTGAATTACAGTGGAAGATTCTGGGAGTCCTTGAAGATTAATATATGAACCCAATATTAGCATATCTGTGCATATATCAATACATTTACATCAACGTACCCTCACATTTTTGTTTACACAATCACAATTAACTTGTAACTGTTGTAGTGTAGCTATCCTCTTCTAAGTATCACAATTTCCAGCAAGCTCTGATAGTTGAATATTTTTTCAAGATCCAAATCCTGTTGTGATTAAAAGCCACTTGAGAGGGACAGCTCCCTGAGCTGTTCTTTCACCACTGTGCTGTGCGCGTGGGGTATGGAGGTGTGGGCGGGAAAGGCTGTGTTTACCCTAGTTGCACTTCCTGTGTCTGGGGAAAAGGTTTTGAGGTTTTAAAAGGGTTGATTATCTTTAAAGAAAAAGGTTGCACACTGCCAGCAGCAGTTTGCAAGGATTCAAAGCATCTACTCTGAGTGCAACCATGTTCTCAGGGTATTTGACCTGCTTCATAGTTGAAGGGCAGTTGGGGAACGGGCGAGTAAAGCCTGCAAGGATTAATTCCCAGTTGGCACTCAGGAAGATATTGACCTCTGAATGCTAAACCAGTTCACTGAAGCTTTTGAGCTTTGCTTCCCATTGCTTATCTCTAAAATCCAGAAAGTAAAAGCCTTGTTTTGTTACTCTCAGGATTGATGTACAAAGATTGCATTTAATTTGGAGAGAATGCTCTTACCCTCCAGCAGTAGATGCACCCCTCACCAGGATTTTGATCTCAGCCTCTATGGCAGTGGAGCCAATTTTGAGCCCTCCCTCTACTGGGTCCCACTGGCAGTGGCCTTCTGTTTCCCACCACTGCAAGAGACACTTTATCTTGGTTCCTGAATGCTTGGCATGATTGCTGCCTACAAGCAGAGTAAAACCCGGAATTCTTAGTTGTCAGCTAGTTTGGGTAAGGAGAACTTTTCCCATATGTTACTACAAAGTGACTTGTCATGAGTGAACCACTTCTTAGTGGTTCAAACTATTCAAACCCTGTGTTTTCTACTGAGATGGGTTGAACAAAAGTGGCCTTCTCATTACTCCAGTTAAGTTTCAGCAGGTAGATTTACATATATTCCCTAAGTTTTATTGCTCAAGTATGGCCACGGCCATACTTCTGGTTTTCTGATGGTTAATTGGAGATAAGAATCTCACAGACTTTCTTGTCTGGACTGGATTTGAACTGGGATCCTCATATCTCAGCCTTCTGAGTAGCTAGGACTATTGGTGTGAGCAACCAGAACCAGGCTCTAATATTGTTTTCTAATGTATTCCTTCAATAGGATACTCATCCCGATCATCAGGATATTCTAAAAGCAATCATAGCATTCAAAATGCTCATGGTAAGTTATATAATTTTCTATATTTTGATGCTGAAAAGTAATTTGTGTGTCATATTAGGCTACCTTTCTTTCCTTGTGTGTGTGAGTGTGTGAGTGTGTGTGTGTGTGTGTGTGTGTGTGTTGAAACCAGGGCTTGAACTCAAGTTATCATGCTCTCACTTTGCTTTTCTGTTCAAGGATGAACCATACATCTACTGAGCCACACATCTATTTTTAGCTTTTACTGGTTAATTGAAGATTACAGTATCCCAGCCCCTTCTCCTCAAGTTGGATTCGAACTGTTACCCTCAGATCTCAGATCCCAGCCTCCTAGCTAGGATCACGAATGTTAGCCACCAGTATGCAGCACTTGTATGCAACATTTTCTTCCTTATACAAAGGTCTTTAGGGTGGAAACAATAAGCTTTCATGACAGTATTGCAGTGATTGTTTCAGTTCATTTTGTCCTCTGAAAATCATGCTTACCTACGAAAGGTTACAGGGCTGAGGGTATAAAACAATCACATTTGAAGTATTGGCCACATGAAGCATTGGTGTGTAGGTGGGGGGTTTCCTTTATCTTTACCCCCATTGCCCATCCCCCATGGTATAACTCATGTAAGTCATCACTTACAGATTGGGTGCAATACTGGATTCAACTATTAATACCAAAAGATATGAGTTCTTTGCATATGAAAAGGAAATCTTTCATAAAAGGGGAAAAACACTATACTAAAATTCACTTTACATAGATTGCTACCAAAGACATCTGTAATCTTACATCTTGCACATCATGATGAATGTGTCTTTTTGAACCTCATGATGTAAAATTACTTGGTACCATTTTAGAAGGAAAGAAAACATTATTTTGGGTGATTAAGTGTAGCAATATGAGTGATTTGGACCAGTGTGCAGTTATTGATTCTTGATGTAATGTTATGATGTACCATTCATCATCATCTCCTTTTACTGCTTTTGGAATATCACGGATTGGAGGATCATCGGGTGACAAGTTGATGGTTAAACAACAAGTTGAAGAACTGTTAGGTATTGGTCTACAAGTGCTGTTGTAGGTCTAAGACAGTCAACTATTGATGTCTCTACATGGCTCAAACTAATTGGAGAGCCATGACATTTGTTATAATTTGTATCTTTATTTTTCCTATGTAGTGAGAATGAGATATGTCTCTTTAAAAAACCTGTTATTCTTTCTGATCATGTTATAAACTTGTTTTGATGTTTATAGTATACTCATTCCCACTATAAGTACTTTCTGTAATTTCCTTTCTTCAAATATTCATTTAGTTGAACGAGGCAGCAAAGATTTCATAGAAAAATTACTTCCAAAAAACTATTACATTACATTCATTGGAAAGAATAGCTTAACTAACCATATGCTTATGTTTTGTGTTCATTTTGGAATGAATACTATTAATTTATTCCAAGATAACTCACACTTTCTGAAGCAAGGATATACACACACTCATGTGGATAAACATGCACGGATAGTGCTTATTCTTCACATGGCGTTGGTAAGCTGGAAATTGTTTCTTGGTGGAATTTTTGAGTTTGCCATCGTGAAATGCAACATTATCTCCTTTCCTCCAATCCTTTCAGAAGTCAAAATTGACTATTTTTATGGAAATCTACTCTGGCTCCCTAAACAGAGTACAGGACAGTGCTTATATTTCATCCAAATTTGATTTAATTCATTGTGGCATAAAGAACGAATTTGTTTTTGTTTTGTTAGTCTCTACATAATGTTAGGAGTCATTTTGGTTTCATTTTTATTTTTGTTATTGTCATGATGTTACCTTGTTAGAAAGTGGGCCTAAGTCAGAAAACTGAAATAGCTTTGTAACTTTTGCCCTCCTTACTCATAGATAAGCAAGTAGGCTGGGCGCCAGTGGCTCACACCTGTAATCCTAGCTACTCAAGAGGCTGGGATCTGAGGATCATGGTTCAAGGCCAGCCCAGGCAAGAAAGTCTGTGAGACTCTTATCTCCAATTAACCACCAGACAACCAGAAGTGGAGCTGAGGTTCAAACTGGTAGAGCACTAGCCTTGAGCAAAAGAGCTCAGAGACAACGCCCAAGCTCCAAGTTCAAGCCCCATGACTGACAAAAAAGATAGGCAAGTAGACAGAAGCAAGAGAAGGGGTACCAACCATATTTGGAACTACTTATTGCTGGCCTGGGTCTGCTTAATGGGATTTTTCTGCTTATTTCTCCAGACTCCTTAAAGGGAGAGAAGAACAAGCTCTTTCTCACATTTTTTTTTTCTTGAGGCTTTGGAAAGATGAAAAGTATCTCATCCACACACAACTTTTAGAAGCTCAAGGTTAGAGAGTTAGTAGATTCGTAGATTTTTTTTTGTCTGTCTGGAATGTGTCTGGTTATAGGATTTCAGGGTGAGGAACAAAGGGATCCAATGGGAAGCTGAGAGTCAAAAGTCACATCTTACTTTGATCTTGTTGGGTCTGATAGATTTCACGCATCTATTTCATAAGAATTCTTATTCTGTTCTGTTCTGTTTTGCTTTTATAGGGACAGTGCCAAGATCTGAGGAAGAGAAAACAACTAGAACTGCAGATACTTTCCGAACCTATTCAGGCATGGGAAGGGGAGGATATTAAGACCTTGGGTAGTGTAATCTTTATGTCACAAGTCATGGTGCAGTATGGAACTTGTGAGGTAAGGTGTTTCAGATTTCACCATTGTTCCTTCCATCTTTTACAGTTTCCTTCCTTTAATTTGTTCTTCCATCAAGGTTAAATGATCAAACATTCAAATAAGAAAGAGTACCTATTCTTCCAGATATTGTGAGAATTGGGGGAAAGAATACGTGGTGATCCTGGCTTCCAAAGAACTCATTCAGAACTTGGAAACCAATTGAATGTTCAGTGTTAGATTGTGTGGTCTCATAGGTAGGCTCAGTACAAGTTCTGAGAAGGGAGAGATGGAGAAGACCTCATGGAGATCGGATTTAAGAGTATTATCTTGGGAGAGAACAAGAAAGTGGGTTGTTCCCCTGGCCCTGCCCCTTGTAGGACAATAAGGAAGTGAGACTGATGGAAGGTAAAGGTGCACTTTAGAAATGGTGAGAAGAAAGACTGACTAAACCAGGTTATATTGGCTCTTGCATATCAGAGGCTAGGGTAGTTTAGATGGATGCAGCAGGCAAGAGGAAACAATGCGTGAAAGAGTCCCAAGCAGCACAAAAACATGGGAAAAGGGCTGCTGTGTGTGACATTTTCTAACAATGATGTATCAGGTGGGTGTGAGAGTAGGAATAAGCTGGTGGTAGAGGAAATGGAGCATAAGGGGAAACTAAGACACGTGTTTAGATGGGAGCCTATGAGAAGGGCTAGAGAAGATGATGAATGCCATTTCAGTGCCATCTAGTTGGAGATGTTCTGTAGGCCGCTGGTAAAGCACTATGGAAATGGGGGTGAGAGGGTTGGCGGAGCAACGAGATTTGGATGTCCTTGACAGATTGTGCCTTCTTAGGAAGTAAATATGTAAAGAGAAGCACCAGGGATGAAGATGGATTATTTCTTTTAGGAAGGGGCCAGAAGAGGGGAGAAAGGTTGATTATGTTACCTGGTGTGATTTATCTACCTGGTGTGATTTATCTACCTGGTGTGATTTATCGGGTGTTAGAGCTGTCTTTCTTCTCCCCGAACATCTTACTATACTCTCTGACGTGCCTGTGGCAGAGATTCATTACTTTGAGTTAATAAGCAATCTCATTGAAAATGCGGAAACCCTGGGGAAGGTTAATGCGGTGAGGGTAACTATTAGTCATTCACATGTTTGGGATAAACCCCTTGGGTTGAAAGGAAGAGGAACCAGTGGCAGGGGGAAAAAAAAAAACAAAGACAAATAGGAAGGTTGAAAAGAATTGGGGGTCATGGTGTCCTGGAACTCCTAGAGGAATACTTGAAAGTGGCCATCGAGCTGAGTGCTGCAGGAGGGTCAGAGGTCAAGGAGTGTGAAGACCAAAAAGAAACCATTGGATTGTGCTAGAAGGCAGTTATTGATGACTCTGAGGGAGCAGGGAGGGGAGTGCAGTTGAGGAGAGATCAATGAGAAGAAAATGAAGGCAGCGAGTAATTTGGCAATACAATGTCAAGAAATGAGATATTATGTATAAGGAGCCTCACGGGGGCGGCGGGGGGAAGGGGAGGAAACAAGGCCTTTTAGAATAGGAGATGCGTATATATTAAAGGCAAAAGAGGAAAAGAGGGAAGAAAAGAGATATCTGTAAAACAAAAGTAGGCAAGGGAAAGATTTGAGAGGATGGGCGAGCACATGTTAGAACACTTTTGTTGTTGTTGTTGTTGTCGGTCATGGGGCCTGAACTCTGGGCATACGCACTGTCCCTCACTCAGCTCTTCAGCTCAAGGGTAGCGCTCTGCCACTTGAGCCACAGCGCCACTTCCAGCTTTTTCTGCTTTTGTAGTGCGAGGAATCAAACCCAGGGTATCATGCATGCAAGGCAAGCACTCTACCACTGAGCCACCTTCCCAGCTCCATGTTCGAACACTTTGCAAACAATAGATGTAAAAATTCCATTTGGTACAATTACCCTGCTGCTCATCTCCCTCTTCCTCTTCCCCTTTGATTGCATATTTGTTAAAGGGACTCAAGCACTTAGGTTTCTTCAGTGCCACCTAAAAATCTTGCATTATATAGTGTACTATAAAGTGCCAAGAGGGGATTGTGAATGTACTGACCATAAAGAAATGATAACAATTTAAGATTATGTATGGAAATCACCTTGCTTTGATCATTATACAATGTACACATGAACTAACACATCACATTGTACCGTGTAAATAGGTACAATTCTTATATGTCAATCAGAAAAGGAAATCATAAAATTGGGCTGGTAGTGATATTCAGTGGTAGAGTGTGGACTCAGGGTTGGATCCTCCCATTACCATGCACACACAAATAAAACCACACGATTAAAACAACCGTGTTTACTATTTTGTTTTATATGCACACATTAACTATCTCATTCTTAGTCATTACATTCATTTTATGAATAAAATTTACTCTACACATTAGTACCTAATTTGTTTCCTAATTTTTTTGAAAACAGCTTCATTTGACTACTTTTCAAACTAAAATAATCTTGTTGTTTTGTGCACCTACCAAGTTCTTTTGTGCCTAGGACGTGTGCATCAAACTGGCTACGTAAACTGTATCACTTCTCCGGAAGGATAGAGAGCTGGCACATTTATTTCCATTTCAAAGGGAAGTTTAACTGGCTTCATGCTTTGGGGTTGAATGCCTTTCTTTTTTTAATTGAAATTCTCTGAAAAATCACTTCTGTTGTTTTGATTGATTATGTAAGGTCTGTGTTACAAAACAATGATTCCAAAAATTCCTGACCAAAAATATGTTTAATTTTTATTATCCATTTAATGTTTTCATTCTACCTTAGGACAAAGAGGAACGGTACCTTATGCTATTTTCAAACGTCCTGCTAATGTTATCTGCGAGTCCTCGGATGAGTGGTTTTATCTATCAGGTTGGTGGATTTCATACAAAGCAAGTAGTGGGAACTGTATGGAAACATGCATCTGTCCAGATGTGGTATCTCCAGGAAGACAGTAAAAGCTCTTACCAGCAAAGGCACAATGTTCTCACCCTTAAAAAAATTGAACAGCTTATAAGAACAGATGGTTCTTAAATCAAAAACCTCATATTAGTATGTTTCTTTGGAATCTATGTCTATAAGCTAGCTTTCGAACGTATAAGTAGAAATCCAAGTCTACAGTTGAATAACTTTGCAGCAACTTTTGAAAGGTTCATAGCTGAGAAAACAGAAAAGTGACACTTGCTACAATTGTCTTATTTCAGCCTCATCACGTTGTTTTGGGTCTCTAGCATTGTTTTGGGTCCTAAACTTCTTAGGAAATTGCACTTCCTTCTGTTTTCTCCCAGGATATAGTGTTACGACATTATTGCCTGTTCTACCAAGACCTGGCCTTTACTATTTTCCACAAAACTTCCTTTGCTTGCTGATTCATGTGAAAATATGTAAGCAAAGTAAACTTGTTTGTTTTTTGCCAGTCCTGGGGCTTGAACTCAGGGCCTGGGCACTGTCCTTCAGCCTCTCTTTGTTCAAGGCTAGCACTCTACCACTTGAGTCACAGCTCCACTTGCTTTCTTGTCTGGTTAAAATTTATGATAGGGAGATAAGAAATGTACTCATGATCTTGCTCATGGAACTGTAATCCCTCTGTACGGTATTTTCACAATAAAAACTTATTTAAAAAATTTACAATAGGGAATCTATTGATAGACTTGAGAAAAGAAGTCTAAGAGAAATATGTTTTATCACATAATTAATGGAGATATTCTTTTCTCCTAGGGAAAAATAGCAGTAGCAGGAATGGCAGTGAGTAGATTGGATGACACTGACGGGAACGACTGGGCATTTGAAATCACAGGTAGGCCAAGTTTTTCTTTTTTCATGTAGCTACTTCAAATGCTTTTTGGAGTGAATTGGAGTTTAAATAAGTAAATGCTATTATTTTCTCTTATGCAATCCATGAGCAAGTTTTACATGGAGATGCTAAAATATATTCCATTTCCTGGTATAAGTAGAGTATAGAACAGAGGAGTCTTCTGGTAATTTAAAAGCCTCAAATTTGCCATTAGTTTCAATATTCTCTTGCATAAGAGCTACATGTGAGAGCTAAAGAATAACAAAATGGGTGGGTATAAATATGATTTTTTTCTCTCTCTGTCATCTAGTCCACGGACTTCTATCTGCAATCTTGTTATCAGTGTATGAATTAGCAAGACTTGGTTATGTTTCTAAAAAGTGCTAGAAAGTACTTTCTTCACAAATTAAACAAAATTCCATGGCTTGATAAGGCTCCTTGATATTTTGGACTATTATCTCTTTTGCCAGGCCTGTAATGATATACATGTAATAGTTATACTTATCTTGTACTGATATGGCACACTAGTCAGGGCTAGGCTAATGAACTGACTTTACTGGTACTTGTCTTTCTCAATAAGAATTATAAGATTTTTATATTTGTCTGAAGATTGTAGACAGTCTTAGTTGGGTCTTGCTCCAACTTTGATACCTGGAGAACTAGTACAATATTGTCATTTTAAACTGTGAACTAGCTAGACAACATACTTAAAATTTCATATATTTATTATCACAGCTTATCTGTTCCTAATTTAGAACTTTGAGAGGGTTATTCTACAGGTAGGCAGATGACTGAAAATAGCTAGCCAAGTCCTAGTTGCTCAAAATATACTTATTTATTTATGTCAGTTGTGGGGCTTGAGTTCAGGGCCTGGGCACTCTCTCTGAGTAGTAGGCTAGTGCTCTACCACTTGAGCCACAACGCCACTTTTGTGTTTTGAGTGGTTAATCGGAGATAAGAGTCTCACAGGGACTTTTCTGCCTTGGTTGGCATCGAACCACAATTCTCAGATCTCAACTTCCTGAGTAGCTAGGATTACAGGCATGAGCCACCAGCACCTGGCTCAAAATGTATTTATGAATGAAACAAAATTAATGGTTCTCCTTACTCCTGGCTTTTTGTTTTTGAATGTTCCCATTCATTGGGTGATACAGGTAACATAATAGAGAAAGTTGTGATCTATTGCAACAACAACCAGGACTTCCAGGAATGGTTAGAGCATCTGAACAGACTAACCAGAGGACCCACCTCTTGCAGTTCATTATCCAAAACTTCATCATCATCGTGTAGTGCTCATTCTGTAAGTACCCCATTTGTGCAATCCATGAATTATTGAGGCTAAAAGCTTACAGGAAGTAACAAACATGCCGTTTGTTGTTGGGTAGTCTATATTTATATATTCTGAAGTACAGTTAAGCTTCACTAATTCTTATTTCTCATTCAAATTAACAAATTTTGTAGCTAAGAATGTAGCTCAGAAATAGAGCACTGGCCTGTTCTCATAGTCAAGGCCCTGGGTTTTATCCCCATGACCCTCCTACAAATTTTTTTTTTCACTTAGGAGTGTTCGGTTGTATTTGGTAGCATTCAGATAGTCAAACTAACTACTATCCAAATATTGTTTTTGTTTGTTTTGATGGTCATGGGTCTTGAACTCTGGGCCTGGATGCTGTCCATGAGGTCTTCAGCTCAAGGCGAGCACTCTACCACTTTGAACCACAGCGCCACTTCCAGTTTTCTGGTGGTTAATTGGAGATGAGTCTCATGGACTTTCCTGCCCAGGCTGGCTTTGAACCGCGATCCTCAGCTCTCAGCCTCCTGAGTAGTTAGGATTACAGGTGTGAGCCACTGGTGCCCGGCTTATCCAAGTATTTCTAACCAGAAGTTCTGCTAAGATATTTTAGAGATAAATGAAACTCATTTATGTCATATTCATAATGTGCTGAGTTTTACTTCTCTGAGTGTTTAAACATCTTCTATATCTCATTCATGCTATTGCATTTCCTTAGTAAACTTCTTAGAAGGTTCTGTTAGCATTGTTTTTTTTCTGAGTTATCACCAATTTAGAATTCATAGCATTTGAATTGATGAGATTTTTCTGTACTTCTTGAGTGAACTGGACAACGTGCTGTTATCTTTCTTAGCACTCCAACCTGTGATGCCAAAATTCCTGTTTTGAGTTCTGTGTGTTGTGGGGGAAATATGGACTTTGACGTAAAAGCTCTGTTCACTTCTTGACTTTGTCAATGACTTGCTGGTTACTTCACTTTGCTGAGTTGATGTTGGGGTTTTTCTTATGAAGTAGAGTCTATTTAAGCATCTAATGGGAGTTTTGAACACCATCAACTTAAATGTTACCTAGTACTCTATTTTCCTCCCTTACAGAGGAAAAAAGAAATCTTACTTGAATGAAATTCAATAAAAAAGAGAGTGAGAGAGAGAAAGAGAAAGAGAGAGAGAGAGAGAGAGGAGGAGAGAGAGAGTGAGCGTGAGCAGAAAGAGCCTGTTCTCAAACTAGAGACTTTTGTTTTTCTATCTTTCTCTTACTATGGCTGAGTTTTCTGATCCAAGGAAGCTATTGTTATTCTCTTACTGTGGTTTAAGGTTGGGTTCAGATGGCAGGTTGGCAACATCTCATCAGATATTTTCCCAGTCTTTTAGCTCTATTGGACAACTTCGAGGACCCTTGGAACCTCCTCAAATTATAAAGCCTTGGAGTTTAAGTTGTCTACGACCTGCACCTCCACTTAGACCATCAGCAGCACTAGGTTATAAAGAGGTAATTTTGCTACATATGGTATACAATTGTGTAGCTCATTGCAAACAGTTCAGTGAGAATGTGCTAGAATTTATGATAGGTGGTACATGTGAGTAAAACCTGAATTATTAGATATAGTGATTTTTGCTTTGTTTCTTCTCCATTGTCTATCTACACATCTTTATTGAAGATTCACACTACCTGCATTTCTTTGTCTCCTCCTGAAGTGCCTCTGCTTTAACTTTACATGATTATAATCATTCTTTAAATTAGTTGACCATGCAAATCTAAACAAGAACCACCTTATTAAGAGTTGGATTTCTAATCAAACAGATCCAATTCTGCATTTTGGAGCATTTTGTTTTATTAAACCAAATTAATAAAGTGTTATGAGACAGAGCTATGTGTGTAAATTGTGAACTGATATTTGCTACAATAGGAAAGGGAAAAGAAAGAATTTCTTGAAAGAAATGTCTTTTTTTTTTTTTTTTAAAGAAAGGCTTCTCAGCTACAGCCTTGTGGATGTTTGCTATTTTGGTAGTGTGGGTTTTTGTTTTAGTGGTGGTTTTAAGATGGTCATTTATTTTCTTTAGATATTACAGTCAAGAAATAACAGCCACCAGCTTCCATAACTATATAGAGGGCTGCCATTTCCATGTTGTGTTGTTTTTAATTTCATATGGCTTGTTTCTGATTGTTTCAGATTTCACTAAAGTATTAAAAACTTCTCTTTAAATGGGTGTGGTTGCATGAAGAGTAAGTTGTTGACAGTTATGTAATGAGCCTGAGAATTTTGGGACAAAGTCAGCATATGATACTATAGTAAACTTAGGTTTTGATCATGTAGGCATTGCTGAGTTTTGAGTGTGGTTTGATTTAAATCACTACGTGTCTGCTATGATTGTTTTCTCCGCACATTAGTGGAGTAAAGATATAACAATATTTTATCATTGGAGGATTTTTTGACTCTTTCTACCTGATATTGTAGGAGACTTGGTGCATGAGATAGAGTTTCTATTACATACTTCTATTCACAATTCGGCCAGAAAATAGTCCCAAGATTTGCTCTAAAAATCAACCTGAAATTCCTACAATCATCCAGTTTTCTTCTTTGATTACTTAGACCAGGCATTTCATTGTTACCCCCCTCCCCTTTTTTTTTGTTTTTTGTTTTGTTTTTTGGTCGGTCGTGGGGCTTGAACTGTGGGCCTGAACGCTGTCCCTGTGCTCTTCAGCTCAAGGCGAGTGCTCTACCGCTTGAGCCACAGCGCCACTTCTGGTTTTCTAGTGGTTTATTGGAGAAAAGAGTCTCACGGGCTTTCCTGCCCAGGCTGGCTTTGAACCGTGATCCTCAGATCTCAGCTTCTTGAGTAGCTAGGATTAAAGGTGTGACCAGCGCTCGGCTGTTACCCCTTTTTAATGATGGATATTTTGTAATGTCAGTTACTAAATTCAAATTGAAGTGAGCTTTAGAGGGTAAAGATGACTTAATCTTTCTCATAACTAATCTAAAACCTAAAGCATGATCACTTCTGCTCAGAAATAGAGTTATTAATATGTTCTTACTATGTAGTATGTATTTCAATTATTTTCAACATTTGTTATTATGTGCAGAATTATACTCTTTGAACTTTTGCATGATGATATTGCATCTGAAACTAATGTGGGAAATGTGATATTCTCTCTGTGTAATTTATGATAACACTAACATTTCAAATGTTGTTTTAGAATTATTGATAAATGGATTTGGTCATTATAACCATCGACCTCTCACGCTCATCTTCTCTTTCTTTACATATTCATTTTAGAGGATGTCTTATATCTTAAAGGTAAGGGTAGAATGATATATTTGGCTTACAGTGACATAATATTATTGTGCTGTAACCTTTGATGAATGAAGCTTTTCCTTATAGTTGTCTTTTCCCTTGTAACTGGTGGCTTAAAAGGAAGATACAATTCTGACATGTAAGTACTTTCTTTCAAAATGCAGGCCTGTGTGAAATGAATATTAAAATGCTATTTTATGTGAAATGCCTTAAAATGCCAATTTTCCTATTTTAAAAAAGCATATTTGTTTTTATGTCTTGTTTGTTTTTAAGTCTGGGCAGATCACTGTGGCTAAGTGAAGGAAATATATATATATATATATATATATATATATATATATATATATATTGGGAGGTCAGTCATGGGGCTTGAACTCTGGGCCTGGGCACTGTCCCTCAGCTCTTCAGCTCAAGGCTAGCGCTCTACCACTTGAGCCACAGCGCCACTTCCGGCTTTTTCAGTGGTTAATTGGAGAGTCTTAGGGGACTGTTCTGCCCAGGCTGTCTGAGAACTGAAAACCTCAGAGCTCAGCCTCCTGATTAGTTAGGACTACAGGTGTAAGGTCACCAGTACCCAGTTTGTTTCATATATATTTTAAAGTACTAATTATTATCCATTTATCCCATATATAGATTGCATGGAAGATTAGAACACATAGGCATGAGGGTTTTTTTCCCCAAGAGTAAAATTCTTATCTGTTTATTTGGATGTTGACAATAAACGTATTTTTTTAAACTTTGGTGTTTATTCATATGACAAAAGCAAATGGAATAGTTCCCATTTCTGTGGTCTGCTAATTAAAACTATAGTTCATACATATATAATTAAGCTTAGCCATGGTTATGTTCTTAACCCTAAATTATTTATCAAGAAATTATTTTCTCTGGGGCTGGGAAGGTGGCTCAGTGGTAGAGCACTTGCCTTACAAGCATGAGGCCCTGGGTTCAATTCCTCAGCACCACATAAGCAGAAAAATCTGGAAGTGGTGCTGTGGCTCAAGTGGTAGAGCACTAGCCTTGAGCTGAAGAGCTGAGGGACAGTGCCCAGGCCCAGAGTTCAGGCCCCACAACCAAAAAAATAAAAATAAAAAAATAAATTCTATTCTCTAACATTAGGGAAATTATTTAGTCTCTCTGCCTTAATTTTCCCATCTGACACACAGAATTTGAATTTCTCTTTGTGGGAATACTATAAAGAAAACTTATTTAAATAGTTTTGAAGCTCTTGGCAAAAGGGATAAATTCAATGCTAGTTATACTTATTGAATTCCCATATTGGTGTATCAATGGTTAACAAAGTAAGAGCTATTCTTCTAGGATTGGCATCTATTGCCTTTTCTGCAGACAGTACCCTAAAGACATTCATATCCCACCCCTATAGCATTACCTCTGTTTTGTTTAATCTTTTCAGAGTTTATTGGATCCATTTTATTGCATTTAGTACTAATTTTTTTTGTTGGTTGTGAGGCTTGAACTCTGGGTCTGGGTGCTGTCCCCCAGCTCTTCAGCTCAAGGCTAGTACTCTACCACTTAAGCCACAGTGCCACTTCCAGTTTTCTGGTGGTTTATTTGAGATAAGAGTCTCAGTCTTTCCTCCCCAGCCTGGCTTTGAACCAGGATCCTCAGCTCTTAGCCTCCAGACTAGCTAGGATTACAGGAGTGAGCCACTGGTGCCCAGCTTAGTACTAAATTTTGATATGCTCTTAACTACAGCTGTCAACATAGCAGAGAAGCATTTAATTTAATTTTATTTGTTCTATTTCAATTCAAACTTGTAGGAGACTTTTACTTTAAAAACTTTTATCCTTACAGGAGTCTAGTAAAAGCCCCAAAACAATGAAGAAGTTTCTTCATAAAAGGAAGACTGAGAGAAAAACATCTGAGGAGGAATATGTGATTAGGAAAAGTATGTGTTTTGTACTTTCTGAAAGTTATTTATGGATGAACTAACACGAGCATTTTTTAAAAGCAGATAATTAGAGCAATTTGTTCTCAGCATCATCTGTTAGAAAGACACATGGAAAAGTTTGGTCACCTCTAAGACTTTTGAATAGGCTGCCTCCTGCTGAACTTCCTGTCATCTTAGGCATTGTCATGCTGCAGAACATTTCAACCCCCCAGTGATTTAGAATCACTAAGGGGATCCATTTGCTATAGATACATTTCTCCCCTTTTTACTTTCTGATGCCTGAGATAGTTTCCTGAGCAGAAATAGATTTAGACTGGAAAGCTGAAATCCTTCTGGAAATGTAATGCTCATTAGTTTCTCAGCTAGCCAAGAAATGGGCCTGCTGGCTTCTAAACACAAGGCTTTATTTAGGACTGACTATAAAGTCAGTCAGCCAATTGATACATATGTATTTCGCTATAAAACTGTGAATAATGTACTTTGTGATACATAGGACTCAGTGATGTCTCACAAAGAGGTGTCAGGAATGTGTGTAGGAATAAAAATAGACAATTTTGATAAATCTTTGTTGGACTCCAGCTTCTGCATGTCCTAACCCCACTTATACTTGATGGTATCCACATGAGCTTATTAATGGAGTACTACCATCCAGCCCTTTCAAGACTGAGTTGGGGAAGGGATAAGGTAGGAGAAAAAAGTAATACTGGCTGGAAAGATGGGTAAGCTTAATGTGGACCACTTTCTAAAGAAGATGACCCTTGAAATAGAGAGGATCACAAGGCCATAGTATATTGGATAAGAGCTGAAAGCAGAACCCAGCCCAGTGTTGTGATATTGGCTTCCAGGAGATGACTGCTAGAATCTCAGTTTAGAGTTCTGGCATTCAGGATCACACCTAAATCAGTGCTGAATTTACTGAGGCTCCTCACAGAGCTGTGTGGGGATGCTGTCAGTCTTTCTCCATCTTGAGTCTTGAGCAGTAATTTTGCCTACCTTTCAGAAACGCTGCCACGGAAGGGAAGTGCAGTGTACTGTGTGATTTGGAAGGGACAGGGTGTATATCTTTGAAAAGTCACTGCTAATTAAATTTGACAGGTACAGCTGCTCTGGAAGAAGATGCTCAGATCCTTAAGGTGATTGAAGCCTACTGCACCAGCGCCAATTTTCAACCAGGTAATGTCTCAAGTAGGCTCCTCAGACTGTTTTCTCTCATGTCCGATGTCTCTTCATCACTGCTCAGTGTGTCTTAGGAAAAAGTAAAGCAATATAAATGGCGTTGCGGGGTGTGGAAAGCAGATGACTTGGTGCAAGGGAACAGTACAGGCCTGCATCTTTCAGATAAGGTGGTTTGTAGCTAACAATGGTTTGTTTACCCACTGTTGCTTTTCAGCCTGAGAGAAAGAGATGCAAGAGGGAAAAAAAAAGCTGGAGGTGATAAAAATGAAAACAGTTTTAAAAAGTCATTCTTTTTTGAAGTACGTAGATAGCCTCGGCAGCAGTAGTTAAGAATTAAAGAGCCCAGAGAGTTCCTGTGGCTGTGAACTGATGCTAATCTCTTCTTATAAGCAGATTTGGAAAGGAAGTCAAAAATCCTATCTTTGATCAGCTGCATATTTAAGCAAGCGATGTTTTACCAGACTCAAGTTTCAAAGTTGCTCTGAAAATCTGGAAATGTAGCGGCCCAGCAGAGGTTATTCAAAATGTCTGAAATTTATCATGGGGCTATTATGTGAGGCTATTTCTCCCAAATGACTTGAGAGCTACATAATGTCTCTTGGTCAATCTTGTGTAGTTTGAAAGCCGAGTCATGTGGGTTATTCTTATGTCTTACATTATCATGGATATTCAGGATACTATATCTTTTGTGAGATCCTTTGTTTTTTGGTCAGTCACGGGGCTTAAACTCAGGGCCTGGGTACTGTCCCCGAGCCTCTTTTGCTCAAGGCGAGCACTCTACAACTCTGAGCCACAGTTCCACTTCTGGTTTTCTGGTGGTTAATTGGAGATAAGAGGCTCACAGCCTTTCCTGCCTGGGATGGCTTGGAACTGTGATCCTCAGATCTTAACCTCCTGAGTAGCTAGGATTATAAGTGTGAGCCACTGACACTTGGCCATGAGATTTTTTTTTTGCCACACCTGGATAATACAGGATTACACCATAATGCTATCCTTGGCATAGCCACTGACCAATCACTTGGTTAGGAAAGGAATTCTTAAGTGACTGCCTTGACACACTCTTCCAAAGTATCACGTCTCAGATTGTAAGGAGGAAAAGTGTCCCATATAGAAGCCAATATGTTTGACAATAAAGAGGGGACACACACTTTCTGTTTCACACACAAAACCTAGTTGTGGCATGCTCAGTGCTGAATATACTACAAGGAGTCAGGAGAGGAAAATGACAGCAGTTTTCTTTTTCATTATCATGAAAGCTAGAATAAAAAAGAAGGGAACAAGGAGACATCAGAAGAAGCAGCCCGCATACAAAAATCTAACCTCATCTGTCCTTCTCTGCACTATTGTCCACCTCAGTCGAATCTATTGTTGTTCTTAGTGGAGAAGGCACAGAGTATGCATTCTGGCATAAAGAGGCATGAATGCTTTGGCTCCTCCTCCCTTGCCTCATTTTTGCATATGAGAACTATCTAGTGCTGTGTAGGCAGGCATATGGCAGAATATTTCCCTCCAGCCCAATTTTTGTGTTCCTCCAACATCGACTGTCTTGACTCTTGCTGCATTCATTTGAGTCAGTCAGTCTTCTGTGCACTTAGGAAGCACCAATGATAGTGCTATTCCCTGGGGATGGCGAAGACATCTGACTTCAGGAAAGAAGTGATCAGGTGAAGGCAGTGAGTTATGTTCATCTCTAAAAGATATTGGCCTAGGTGAGATGAGTCCAGGGACTCTGGGGAACCAAGGATTAGGCACTTGCATTCCCATGGGAAGGCTACAGAATGAGGGAGAGGTTGATAGTGCAGGAGAGCTAGTTAGTGTTTTCTGGGACACCTAGATACATTCTGAGTAGAAAATGATGAGGGCCTACAGTTTTCTGATTTTTGCCAGTCCTGGAGCTTGAACTCAGGGCCTGGGTGCTGTCCTCCAGCTACTCTTGCTCAAGACTAACACTCTGCCACTTGAGCCACAGCTCCATTTATGGCATTTTTGGCAGTTAATTGAAGATAATGGTTTCATAGACTTTCCTTCTTGGGCTGGTCTCAGCCTTCTGAGTGGCTTGGATTACAGGTGTGAGCCACTGGTACCTGTCTGGACCTACAGTTGTTTTGTTGTGGTGGTGGTGGTTGTGGTTGGTCATGGGGCTTGAACTCGGGGCCTGGGCACTATCCCTCAGGTCTTCAGCTCAAGGCAAGTGCTGTACAACTTGAGTCCCAGGGCCATTTCTGGTTTTCTGGTAGTTTATTGGAGATAGGAGTCTCACAGACTTTCCTGCTTGGGCTGGCCGTGAACCATGATCCTCAGATCTCAGCTTCCTAAGTAGCTAGGATGACAGGCGTGAGCTACTGGCGCCCAGCTTTCCTGGACCTACATTTTTGATAATCTTATAACCATTGTCCCCTGGAGATCAAAACTTTTCACTGATCCTCCATACCCTTAGAGGAAAATAAAGAGAACACATAAGCAAGAACGATGCTTTGGAAGTCCTTCCAGTCCTGTTGTGTCCTAGGCCAGTGCTACCATCAACCTAATCTCTACTAATAACAGAAGAGCAGAGCATGGGATAGTGTGTCACTCCTTGGAGACTTGCTGGCACAGTCAGCTCTTTGTGCTGAATGAGGCAAAATGGAGAAGGGTAGGGGTCTTGAGATGGAGGGGAGCTATTGCAGTGTCCTTGTGGCATTATTTGGCCATGTGAAATTCCTTGTGTCAGGAAAATGCCATCAACATATATTAGCCAACCACCTGCTAAATGCAAGGCAGCAGCAGTCTGGGCAGAAAGTTCGTGTGATAATGATAGTGGAAAGGAACAGAGCTTGGTAGATAATAGCCTGTACTAGTAACTCCCCCTCTTGTATTGCAACCCTCTACAGGTGCTCGCAAAGATTCTGTGCCACAAGTCTTACTCCCTGAGGAAGAGAAACTCATCATTGAGGAAACCAGAAGCAATGGCCAGACTGTCATTGAGGAAAAGTGAGTAGAGCAGGCCATCCTTGTCCTTGGCTTGTCTGGGGGACTGCAAAGAAGGTCTGATAGGGCAGACATGGAAGGACTGTTCCGCTTCACCCATGAAGGAAGCCCTCTTTGTGGAGCATGTGATTGGCTCTGTAGCCCAGGGAACAGGGATGGGAAGCAGAAGCAGTAGGCCAGAACCCTGCACAACAGCCAGCTCCCCTGTAGCATAAGCAGCTCAGGAACATCTGACAACACCACTGCTCTGGATAGGTTTCTAATGGATAAGGAAGGCCAGAATGCTGATTTCCCTACCCAGAAGCGCCAGTGTCTCCCCCATTTTTTTGAGTCAGGGGCTTAATTTTCCCATTGACCTGGGTTTCACAGTAATGTGTGTGACCTCAAGGGGGAAAATCAAGGTGAAATACCTATGGCTCATAAAATAAACACAAAGTAGCAAGTAATTCAGTCTCTTAAACTTGAGTCATTTCTGAAGTCAGGCCTGAATCTGCAGAGGCCAGCACATTTCACAGTGCTTGGCATCATCAATGTATTTTTACATTGGATGTGTGAACTGAGATGACAAAATTGTAAAGCCCTTGAGTACAAGAGAAGAAGCCTGGGTTAGCTCTTAGTTCTGCTACTTACTGCCTGTATGATCTGCAACAAGTTCTTTTGCTTCTCTGAGCCTGTATCCTCATCTATAAAATGACAGTAATACTCTCATGATTGTTGTGTGATTAAATATAGTAAATATACATTGGAATAATATTATGGAATAATATTATTATATAATTATGATATTATTATGGATACTGATCTTCATGATTTGTGAGAACTTCAGGAAAAGTGGTTTTATCCTTATTTATTTATTTTTGACAGTCCTGGGGCTTGAACCCAAGCCCTGGGTGCTATCCCTGAGCATCTTTGTGCTCAAGGTTTGTGCTCTAACATTTGAGCCTCAGCACCACTTCCAGCTTTTTCTTTTTTTTCTTTTTTTTGGGTCTGGTTGTGGGGCCTGAACTCTGGGCCTGGGCACTGTCCCTCAGCTCTTCAGCTCAAGGCTAGCGCTCTACCATTTGAGCCACAGCGCCCCTTCTGGCTTTTTTTCTTTTTGCTTATGTGGTGCTGAGGAATGGAACCCAGGGCCTCATGCATGCAAGGCAAGCATTCTACCACTGAGTCACCTTCCCAGCCCCACTTCCAGCTTTTTCTGAGTAGTTTATTGGAGATAAGTATCTTACAGACTTTCCTGTCTGGCCTAGCTTTGAACTGCAGTTCTCAGATCTCAGTTTTCTGAGTAGCTAGGATTACAGGCATGAGCGACCAGCCCCTGGCTTTTATCCGAATTTTATATGAAAGGATCAAGAGAAGAAATGGAAACCGGCCAGAAGAGGAGGAAGTGGAGCCTTGATCTGCAAACTCTGTTTTGAAAGAGCTGGCAAGGGAAGACTGTTCTATAACACAGTCAAGGCACTTTGTACTTTAGTGGTTGTGTGTGTGTGTGTGTGTGTGTGTGTGTGTGTGTGTATGTGCATGTGTGTGTGTGCACACGTACGCATGCTGGTACTTGGGCTTGGTTTTTTCACTCAAGTTTGGTAGCCACATTTGCCCATCCAGCTTTTTGCTGGTTAGTTGGAGATTATTTCAGACTTTTCTGCCCATGTTGGCTTTCAACAGCAAATACTCAGATGTCAGCCGCCTGAATGGCTAGAATTTACAAGCATGAGTGAACAGTGCCTGGTTTCTTTGTTGTTTTTCTGGTGGTATATAAGATCTTTCAGAAATAATTCCCTGACTTTATGTCCTGGGAAGTCATGTGGAGTCAGAGAAGTGAGAGATGTCTCAAGGCCCTATACTCCTTATACTGGTATGTCATTATCCATTAAGTGATATATATATATATATATATATATATATATATATATATATATATATATATATATATATATCTCCTGCCCTAAAGCTACAGGAATAAAAAGGTTATGAGGGAAATTAATCTTAAGAAACTGAAATCATAGGATCAGAATGTACAGTGATGGTTGCCTGAGGCTGGGAGAGAGTAGAGGAAATGAGGACATATTGGTCAAAGGGCCCAGTTTTGCTTATGCAAATAAGCACATTTTGGGAGACATAATGTGTAATAGGTGACTATAGTTAACACTGTCCTGTATATTTAGCATTTTCTCAGAGAGAAGATTTTAAATTGCTCTCAACACACACATACAAAACAATTACATGCATACATACACAATGGTGAGAGAGATGTTACTAATGATGGATGTGTTCATTAGCTAATTTTTTGCACTACTTCATAATGTAAAACATACATTAAAACATCATATGCTGTATACCATAAAAGTATTTTTTTTGGTCGGTTGTGGGGCTTGAACTGTGGACCTGGGCACTGTCCCTGCGCTCCTTCTGCTCAAGGCTAGCACTTATCACTTGAGCCACAGCACTGCTTCTGGATTTTTCTGTGATTAATTAGAGATAAAAGTCTCAGATTTTCCTGCCAGGGTTGGCTTCAAACCTCAATGCTCAGATCTCAGCCTCTTGAATAGCTAGGATAACAGGTATGAACCACCAGCACCCGTCTAGGAGCTGCACTTCTACAGAGTTAAAATATTGCTACTTAACAGTATTTCAGTGCCGGCTACTCATCTCTGAATTTTCTCTTTTCGTTCTAGGAGCCTTGTTGATACTGTTTATGCCTTGAAGGATGAAGTCAAAGAACTGAAGCAGGTAAGAAAATCATCATTTTCATATATGACAGAACCACTCAGTGTTTGTTACCCACCTGCTGGTAGATGATATCAGGAAAAATCCAAGAGAAAGGCAATGAGGACAGATTGGTATTTCCCTTGTGTCATGGAGGTACCTTTTAATTGATGTTTTTGTCAGTTGTGGGGCTTGAACTCTGGGCCTGGGCACTGTCCCTCAGCTCTTCAGCTCAAGGCTAGCGCTCTACCACTTGAGCTACAACGCCACTTTCAGCTTTTTCTGCTTATGTGGTGCTGAGGAATCGAACCCAGGGCCTCATGCATGCAAGGCAAGCACTCTACCAGTGAGCCACCTCCCCAGCCCCCCTTTTATTGATTTTTATCATATGACTTTGAGTTTAAAATTTCTAAGGCTTGGGGCTGGGAAGATGGCTCAGCGGTAGAGCACTTGCCTTGCATGCATGAGGCCCTGGGTTCGATTCCTCAGCACCACATAAGCAAAAAGTAAAAAGCCGGAAGTGGCGCTGTGTCTCAAGTGGTAGAGTGCTAGCCTTGAGCTGAAGAGCTGAGGGACAGCACCCAGGCCCAGAGTTCAGGCCCCACAACCGGACCCCAAAAAAAAATTTCTAAGGCTTGCTACTCAGCAGTTTGTAATAGGGTCCAAACTGTGTTATGACTTTCCCCAGTCTCCAGCGTCTATAGGCCAAAGGTAGGAAAAGCAAGGCATTTATGAGCCTGTAAGTATAAAGATAACTCTAAGTCATGGTTTATGGATCCACTGGAAATGAGGTCTTAGTGTTCCAAGATGCCCACTCTGCATGGATGCAAAGACTGGGTATGTGGTGATGAGGAACAGGATGGACAGTGGTGGGAGATCAAGCAGTCTCCAGTATGGGGACTGTGGATTCTTAAACCCAGGTAGGCCACTTGAGGCTATGGAAAAGAGAGTGAATATAAAGGAAGACACATTGTACAGTTGGCACCTGTGGGAGATACCAAGTATTAAAGACAACCCTTCCCTGGATATCATAGTTGTGTGGTGCTATTCTTCACAGAGATCAGGAAGTATAGGGGGAGATTTAGGGATGATGGAAGAGATGCTGAGTTTACTTTAGGATTTCATGAGTTTGGGGTGCATAATTATAAGCTGTCTAGATGGAGCCAGGCAGCTCCCATTGGGATTGGTGGGGCCTGATGCTCAGGAGATGACATCAGTACTAGAGATATTTGGAAGTCCCATCAATAGACCCTTGTATTGAAAGAGAAAAGTGGAAGGACTGTGGAATGAGAAGAGGGCCAAGGCAGGCCCTGCTCTAAGGAAGGCTCACATTTCACAGAAGAAGCCAATAGCTGGTCAGAGTCAGGCAGGACAATCAAGTGGCTGACTTGCTTTCAAACTGGTTTAAAGGGAGGGAAGTGTAGTTAGCAGTGAAGGGGACCACGAGGTGAAGCAGGAAGTGATCGCATCTTTTCCATCCTAGGAGAATAAAAGAATGAAGCAATGCCTGGAGGAAGAACTCAAGTCAAGAAAGGACCTAGAAAAGTTGGTTCGGAGACTGTTAAAGCAAACAGATGAGTGCATTCGAGCTGAATCCAGCAGCAAGACCTCTGTTCTTCCATAACCAACACTGTACTGCTGGGCAGTGTGCCTTCAGCTCATCTTGAAATGTCCAGCTGAACAATTGGACTCAGTTTGCTCACTTATTTGGCTTTAGTTGTTTTTTTGTTGTTGTTGTTTGACTCTCTCACCCACCCCCATATGTGAGTGTGTGTGTGTGTGCATACATGTACACATGTATGTTTGCTTGGATGTTTGTTGTTGTTTGGTTGGTCACTCTTTTTTTTTCAACAAGGTTAAAGCAGAAAGTGGTGGTTGAAGAAGTCCCAGAATCTTCGCCATTCACTTAGAGCAGGAAAACCAATGCTTTTAGATGGCTTTCATTTCATAGGCTTTTGTTTTTGTTGTTGTTTTGTTTTTTTTTTCCCTTGGTCAAGCTTGTTGGGCTGACTGTTGTCACAAAGCAGCTGGCTATGGTATATGAAACATGAACCCAAGTTTCCCTCAGTGCTTTCCTGTACCTGGCAGCCCTTCAGCCCTTCATTCAGTACCTAATTGATTCAAGACAAACCTTCCTGAACTATGACTAGTATAGGTGACAGACTAATACCTTTGTCAAATGATCCACATACCCTACTCTAGATTGTCACACACCACCCTTCAGTGACACTTCCAAGAGAAATCGCTGCCCTATGTTGCCTATTAGGACTCAGAGAAGTGTAGTCTCCTTATTCTATTTGTGCAAATGTACATTTCACCTCAGTGGGACAGAAGCTCTGGCCATCAGCACCGAACCCAAATCCATCAGCTAATTGCATTGGGCCATCTTCTCCTTCAATAGCAGAACTGGGCAGTCCTTTCCGGTGCATGATAGGTTTTTAACCCCTTGCCTTCTGCCTAACATTTTCTATTTCCCCAGTACTTTTAGCCAGCCATACCAAGTGGTGTGTAAATTAGTATGTATGTGCTTTGCTTACTGTTTAAAAATGTAGAGTGAGCAGTTACCTTACATGAAATATTCAAACAGTGATCTTTCAGCCTTCCAAGCCACTTGCATTGAGAAAATTGTGCCCCAGTAGATACCTTTCATTCACTTTTGCTCTCCCATTTATGCTGTGAGAAACTGTAACAATCATTATAATCAGCATCTTTTGTGGAGGACTCAGCATTCTTGGGAATTATTGCTATTAGTCCAGTTTTTTTAAAGTCACAAGGAAATGGTTGTTATGGCCACTGGTTATTTGAAGGAAGTATGTTTACTCAAGTTGCTTATTGACCATTAATTTGTAAGTATCCCATAAATGAGAACTCTGAGAAATCAGGTTTAGACGAGTGTCACGTCCCAAAACTTAGCACAATTCAACATCAGCCAAGGCTCTAGGACAGAGAAGTGCAACCATTCCTTCCTCCCCCAAACTGGGACTTGGGCTATAGAGGCAGAAAGTCAATAGGCTGATAAACATCGTCTTACAGATCTATTTGATGGGTGCATGTAAATGTTGGGGTTTATGGGTTTGTTTAGAAACCAAATTTGCAGCTTGAAAGCTTCAGCTTGCCGAAGAGCCTTTTTTCTTTGTGATACTGAGGATCTTGAGGATCCATAGCTTCATGGCATGGGGTGATGTCTGCCCCCTGTGTAGATGTTTCAGCATCCACAACAAATAGACAGTTCCTGCTGTCCAATAGCAGCTAACCACACAGCCATCTTTGGAAGAGGATTTCTAAGAACAGCTGTTCTGTTTAGATAGGACATCTTTTGCCTAAAAATTAAAAAAAAATACTATCCAGGTCTTTGCATCTGCCCTGTATGTGTGATTTAGTCAATGGCTTGCACTAAATGTACAAACTATATGCATAGGAAACATTTGTTATGATTACAGTACTTTAGTTGATTGCTTATGATACTGAAAGGTCTTTATTTTGAAGTCATATGTACATATGCATGTTTCTGGAACTTTGCCCTTCTGATGAGAGGCCCTAGGTACTCTGAGTAATAAAGCTTGTGCAGAGTGCTGTCTGTGCTTACATACTAAAAATAATATAAAGGAAATGAAGCCATGTTAACCCAAGAGCAGCGTCTCCATAGTTGTGTTGTTTACAATACTCTATAAATGAGTTCCTGTTAAGCTGTAATTAAATTGCTGCCCTTAGAGGCCATTCAGTTTCATCTCTGTCATGTCCCTTCTTACACAAGTTCAAATTTTCTAACTTGTTTTTATTTTAAAGACTTTTAAAATGGACATTTTCAATAAACTAAAAATAATGCTTTATAAAATAAATCCTTTGCTTCTTTTTTGCTAACTACTATGCAAGAAGAACTTTTTACTTTTTTAAAGCTGAATTTTATTTAGAGTGGACAAATAACTAGACATTTATTGCATACAATGTGATAGGCATATATAGTGATATATGTATTCAGCATAGATATTTATATTTCATGATTATGAGCTAGTTAGTAAATCCATCATCTCAAATATTTATCATATTCTCTAGTAAGAGCATTTAAAATCTTCTCTTTTAAGTACTTTGAAATATTCAATGAATTATTATTAACCACAGTCACTATATTGAGCAATAGCTCTCACAAACTTATTTCTCCTATCTAACAGAAACAGTATACTTGATAAAAATCCTTTCCTGTCTACATCCCTACCCCAGTCTCTCGTTACCACCATTTTTCTAGTCTCTACTTCTGTAATTGACTTTTTTGGATTCTACACGTGATGAGATCATGCAGGACTGAGTTTTTTTTTTTGTGCCTGACTTATTCATATAACGTAATGATCTCTAGTTCTATCCATGTTGTTGCAAAGGAAAGGATTTTCTTCTTTTTTTTTTAAGGCTGGATAGTATTCCATTGTGTATAACTACCATATTTTATCCATTCATCCATTATTGATTTTAGGTTAATTCAGTAACTTGACTATAGTGATTAGTACTGCAATGAACACGAGAGTGTAGACCACTCTTTGACAAACTAGTTTCATTCTCTTTGGAAATATCATCAGCCCTACTCTCCATAGCCTTACCTGCCTGTAACTTTTGCACTCAGGTAAGGTTTTCTTTGAGGGAATATATTATCTCTGTAAAGTAGTGAACAAATGTCATCATTCCCTGAAGTAAAACCTTCTTTACCTTTTCTATGTCTCTTCTGGCACCAATTTATAAGCTATTTATTTATACCCCCTTGGCACAATTTCCATTTCAATATTAGGCAAAGATAGATTGATTTTCCTTTTGAAGCTCATCATTTGATTTGTAGTCTTGGTCTCATCTCTTTTTAATTTTTATGGGCCTTTGTCCTGGTCTGAGATTCTCAATTTTGACACAGGCAGAGTTTCCATGTCAGATTAGGATGAAATATTTGTTCGACTTTAAGGTAGATAAGCTGGATAGTTTTTGCCACTCAGCATCCTTTCCTGACCATCTTTTATTCTTGTCACTGAAAGCATATAGGCTAAAATAAATTACCTTTCTCAGATTCCCTTGTTGCTAGGGTTTTGAAACACTTTCAGTTCTTCCAAATAGATTTTCACCACTTAAATTAGGTAGAGACTATCTTTTTGGGGCATGGTGGCCTGTAGAAAACTAGAAAGAATGTTTGCGTCTTTCATAGTCTACATTCCAATGTGTCTAACTTTGTGGATTAAAAGATGCCGTGGTGGGAAGTATTAGCAATGACAGTTTCCTAACATTTGGATTACAAGTACAGTGGGATGTCTTTGAAGACATTAGTCCACTGTAAGTCTGCTAACTCCCACTTCTATAGCTCCATGCTTTTGTACACATCTAAGTACTTTTATGCCTAAACTATCTTAGTGGCTCACATTTCCTGTTCTGAACTAATAGATGTATAATTGTACTTCTAAGTGCTCAGCATTTTATACTAAGTGGTTTACCTAGTTCATATAAGTTGCAAACAACTACACGTGTTTTTTACTGTTGTTATTTCTACCTTACAAATGAACAGAGGTACACAGATGTTAAAAAACATAACAATAGTTCATGGTGGAGCTGGAATTTGGGCCTTTGGCCTATCTATCTTTAAGGCTCAAGCTCTCTCTTGTGACCAAGCTTTGTTTCTCAGTTACTTAATCTTGTGAAGTCACAAGTGAATGTCTTCCTTTTGGCAGTATAAGAATTTACACTTGAGGCTTTGTTTGCTAGGCAGGTGCTGTACCACTTGAACCACAATGCCAGATTCCCCTCCTGCTTTTTTCCTTTTCAGTTATTTTTAAATGGGGTCGCATGTTAATGATAGAATTAGCCCAAACTATGATCCTTTTATTTGTGCTTTCCATGGAGCTGGACCGACAGACATATGCCATCCTGTTCAGTTTTTATAAAGATGTGGGTCTCGTGAACTTTTTGCTTTGATTGGCCAAACATCACAATCTTCCCAAAACTAAACTTTTTGTGTAACTAGAATTACAAGTGTGAGCCACTATACCTAGCACAGATGAACTCTTGCTTGGTGAACACAGATAATTTCATTTTAATACCCATCTTGACCTCCCTCTACTATTTAATCCTGCTTTCTTTGCAATTAACAATTAATTTTGAGATGAGACTCTCACTAAGGGGCCCAAGCTGGCCTTGAACCTGTGACACCCCCTTCCCCTGCCTTAGCCTCTCTAGTAGCCTGGCCACTATGCATATTTCAAGCAATCTCACTGCTTGGCTTTTATCATATCATGTTTCCCTGTACATTTTTTAACCTTTCTATCCTACTACTAATTTTATTTGCTTGGCCTGCTTCCTTCACCTAACTCTTGGACATTGTTAATCTTTAACACTCTGACTTTTCATTCTTTCCAGCCTTTTCCTGGACAATCTTGTCTACTATAACTCGTTTATTAAAATGCATCTATCTATATTTTTCTATTCTGAAACATTCTGATCTGTTTATGTATATTTTCTTCCATAATTAAAACGTGCCTTGTGTTTTCTCTTTTCTTTTTCTTCAGTATTCTCTTTTTTCCGTTTCTTTCCTTTCTTCTTTTGTTCTTTAACTCCTTTTCTTCCCTCCCTCCCCCTTCCATCATTCCTTCACTGTTTTCTTTGCTGTACATTGGGTATAGTCTTTGGTCTGCTGCATGAACAAGGCCATTGCACATGTACCTGGGCTACCAGTTTAAACTGCTCT